TGTTCTTAATTTCTTCATATGTATGTTTTGCTAATGCAAATCAGAATGTCTTGTTTTTCTACTTAACATTTCAGTATTTCTTAAATTATTTCTCCTTATCATTTCCTCAGATTTTTATTTTATTATATATGAACTTTTACATTAAACTATAATATACAGACTGAAAAGAACAGAAGTCATAAGTGTACATATAGCTCAATGAATTATCTCAAAGTAAACACACCCATGAGAACTTGTTTTGAAAACAAGGCTCTCTTTCTCAAGGGCCATGTTTTGGACAGGAAATTTTAATTTAAACATAGCTGGAGCTTAGTTAGAGTGCTGGTTTTATTCAGTAACTACCTACAATAGGGAAAGAGGTGAGCTCCACTGGGTTTTGGCAGAAGTGACTGGGTAAGTTTTACAGAAAGAAGAAAGAGTGAAGTGAGGACTTGAGTGGAGACAGGGAAGTGAAAAATTACAAAAAGTGGTTAAAGGGGTTGGTCCTCATGAAACACATCTGGTTTACTAACTGGCACTTATTGGAATTCAGCTCCTACTGTCCCACAGAGACTGAGACAGACACTATCTTCAGGTGTTGGTTGGAACAAATGGTAAATTTTTTGGGCAGCCTTCAGTTTTCTCAGTCAGGCACTTTAAAGGAAGATGGGGTTTTCCTAGGGAGGTGGCCTTGAGTTGTTAGAGATATCAGTGTTTGTTAAAGTCTTTATAGGCCAAGGCTGAGGCCTAGTCAAGAAGAGGGCTCAGAGGAGTCTAGCTAGAGTTTGGTCAAGGAGAGAATCTTTGCAGTGCAACTGACCCACAGATTTCAGGACTGTCAAAATAATTCTGGGTCCACTTCTACTCAATGTCAGGACCCCCAGTCTCCATTATGTTGAGCAAAAAGTAGCCCAATGTATTTCCAAATGCCCCATCTCACAAAACCCACCATGCTAGATAATGCCTAAGGTTATCTCCCAGCTTTGAAATCCTATGTGATATCATCAACTATTTTGTCTCCATTTAAAAACACTGTCAAAGATACAGGCTGAAAAGACAGTGTGCAGAAGTGTAAATAGTGGAGGACAAAGGAGATTGTGGTCTTTCCTCCTCTGGAAATCAACATGGAATACACAATCCCTTGCCTAAATCCCTTTGTACAGATTCCCAGGAAAGCCAAGCAAGTAAATGGTCAACCCCTAAAGCAGACCCCAATTCAAATCTATATTCTGCCATTTAACTATATGCAACTTGGCCATTCTCAGCCTCAGGAGCTAATACCTACTACTAAATATATATAATGTATCTAAGTCAGCCAGCATATAGTAATAGTCTAATACAGTGAAATCTCCTCCCATCGTGTATGGCCTAGTGCTACTTAAGTTCCCCTCCTGGCTTGAATTCCATTTTCCAGGACTCCAATAGGATTCTCTCAAGCTAAAAGTCAAGACCTACAAACAAAATTCTTCAGAGAATTAAACTTTAGCAGAAGACTACTCAAACCACTCTGTAAATCAGTAATCATATCAATGTAACCATTTTTCTATGAAAAGTACAATTTTACACTCATTCCTATAGAGTTTTCAGTATCACTTGTTGAAGCTTACCATGTGTCAGGCAGTTAGCTAAACCCAGATGAAACTAAAACTTGACTGAAGAAACTCACAAATCACAGAAAGATCTCAAAGAACAACCCAAAAGCTAAATAAAATTTGTGACATAGAGCTAAGTTCTGCAACAGGGAAATGTAGGGCATGATGGTGGAAGGAAATGGACACTGGAGAAAATAAAATTTTAAAAACAAAGAAAAGCCTATGCAAAGGGCTGAAAGCACTTAAGAATCTCCTGTTTTCAGAGAACTAAGATAAAATCACAGGTGAGAGGTGGAAGATGAGCAAGGTAGGAAAGGAAGATCTGATTCTGAGGATCCTTTTGTATCACCATACCCTTAGCTGCAAATTCAAAGACCAATTCAAGAAAAAAATTAATTTATTAAAACATATTGGGTGGGGGCTGGGGTTGTGGCTCAAAGGCCGAGCGCTCACCTAGCATATGCAAGGCCCTGGGTTCGATCCTCAGCACCATATAAAAATAAATAAAATAAAGGTGTTGTGTTCAACTATAACTAAAAATTAAATATTAAAAAAACATATTGGGTGGGATGGCTACATATTTTATGCCCTGGTTTGAGAGAGAAAGGGGGCATTTAAAATTATTCTGATAGGTGTATAGGAGACATTACATGGATGGAATCTTTCAATCTTTGTTCCCTGAGAATGCTATAGGGAACAGCATGGGGCATGGTAAGGCAGCCTTGTCAGTGTGGTGGTCATGGGTCATGCTGTGAAAACATTGCTACCTGAGGAGCTGCAGCTCTAAGTCACCACTCTTGATAAATAAGAGAAAGCCCAGACTCTTGGGGTTAGACATGTGGTAGAAATGATAATCTATGAGAAAAAAATGTTTGTTTCCAGAATTGAGTTTGCCACAAAGGAATGAACTTGACTTCCTCTTTTGCCAAAGAGTAGCCAGGCCTCTGAATCCTGAAGATCTGGGCTTTCATTATCCCCAAGAGGTCTCAACCCCCTGAAATAGAAGCATAGAGGTTTTGGGTTTTTTAGTAACTGCTACCTGCTTTGCTTGGCCAAATCCCTCCCCAACAGGGTAAAGGAGAACTTTAGTGATAGCTTCATCTGTTTTAATCCCTTTTTAGTCACATCCAGCTATCAAAACAGGGTAAATTTCAAAGATATGTATCTCTGATTGGAAGAGCTTACTACACACATGCTGCCAAGAGAAGGCAGACTGGAAATGTCAATTCCTGGGATACTATCTACCAACTGCCTTATCTTTTTATTTATATAAATCAAATCAAACACAACTAGAACCACTCCCCCACATCAAAGTTACCAAAAGCACCTATCAACATTTTCTAAGGGAAGGGGCTCCATCTAGTATTAAACTAAAGAGCCTCACATGTTCTGTGAGGGTGCCTAGGCCTGTGAACTATTTGAAGGTGGGGATCTTCTCTGGAGGTTTAACCCCTCAGTGTCCAGCTGAGCCTAGAGAGGACTTCACTAACTTTTGCAAAGCCAAGGTCTTTGGTGGTTCCTGCTGGATGCACACAGGAAGCAATGCCCCCTGAGGGCAGCCACACCAGGCTTTGCAGCTTTGTGATCCAGACCCAAAGCCACACTCTTGGAATCTGCAGCAACCATCAGTTTCCATGTACTCCCTTTCTTCACATCTGTCTCCTGAGAGTGAATACAGGCATTGGGGGGCAGGGCAGGTAGAAAGAAGGGAAAGTGAGGTGAAGGAAGGATGGCAAACCCTCCCACTGCACTCCTCCCACTCAATTTCTTCCAGGACCTCTCTACACCTTCAAGAGGCACCCTGCTTAGCTTTTGGAAAGAGAGTATTCCCCTGGACTTGACAGAGGAAACAGTTACAACTAAATATTCACTTGAAATTTACCCTGTTTTGATAGCTGGATGTGATTAAAAAGGGATTAAAACAGATGAAGCTATCACTAAAGTTCTCCTTTACCCAGTTGGGGAGCGATTTGGCCAAGCCAAGCAGGTAGCAGTTATACTTCAGGGGATTGAGATCTCTTAGGGATAATGAAAGCCCAGATCTTCAGGACTCAGAGGCCTGGCTATTCTTGGCAAAAGAGAAAATCAAGTTCATTCCTTTGTGGCAAACTCAATTCTGGAAACATTTTTTTTTTCCTCAATAGATTATCATTTCTACCACATGTCTTAACCCCAGGAGTTTGGGCTTTCTCTTATTAATAAACAGGATTTTAAGCAGTATAGATTCATATTTGAATTTCAGAATAGTCATCCTGGTTCATAGTATATTATCTTGTTTTCAAATTAAACGTTTTGTTTTGAGATTATTTTAGATTCACATGTAATTCTAAGACATAAGACAAAGAGATCCTGTGGAGACTTTACCTAGTTTCACCCATGGTAACATCTTGTAAAACTGCCCAGTATCATAAGTAGGATATTGATAATGATACAGTCAAAATGGACAACATTTCTATAATCACAAGGATCCCTCAGGTGGCTCTTTTAAAGCAATCCCCACTCTGGTCCTGCCCTTCTACTTCTTAACCCAAGCCAACCACTAATATACCTCATATGTTTGATGCGGTGTGGCACTAGTTCTCCAAAAGTACGAGATTTTAAGAGAAACTTAGGCCAATGGGAGGAGATGAAATGAGACATAAAGGGAGAATGCAAGAGAAAAGAAGAAACCTGGCCAGGTGGTGTATGCCTGTAATTCCCTCAACTCCGGAGGCTTAGGCAGGAGGAGGCCAGCTTGAGCAATGTAGAGAGACCCTGTCACAAAAAATTTTACCCCCCCCCCCACGGGGGGGGAGTCAAATAGATCAATGGTAGAGAGCCCCTGTGTCCAACCCTCAGTATGAGAGAGAGAGAGAGAGAGAGAGAGAGAGAGAGAGAGTCTTGCTGTGTGTCTGCAGGTTTGCTGTGTGCTAGGTGCTGTTCCAGAAGCTAAGGATGCAAAAATAAGTCACAGTGTGGTAAAGCCACTTCAATGATGCATTCAATTACAGGTATCACAAGCAAGTTCAGTTATGCCAAGTGTTAAGCATTATTAAGAAGGTGTGCACACTGGGGCGGGGGGATAAGAAAATGTGGGCGAGAACTCGCATTGGATGGGAACTAGGAATTTCTCTGAAGAGGTAACATTTTCCTCTTCAGGAAAATGGGAAAGAAAGCAAGAGAAAGAAGGAAGGAAGTGAGGCGAGAGAAGGACAGAGGCAGAGAAAGAGAGAAGGGGAGAGAAAGAGAGGCGTGGGAGGAGAGGGGGTGGGGGGAGGGAGGGAGGGGAGAAAGTTGGGAAAATACTCATAAAGAGAAGGAAAGGAAGGAGGGCTCGATGCGATCGGCACTCCGGCCGTCGGGCGTCGACTGCTAAGGTCTGCACAGGCCCGCCCCTGCCTTTCCCTCCCCTTGTCGCCCCTCCCTTCCCGAACCACCCCCCCACCCGGCCCAACCTGCGAGAGCTCTGAAGTGTCCGGCTTTCCAGAGAAGCCATGTACCGGCTCCTGTCAGCCGTGACACTGCAGGCTGCGACCCCCGGGGGCCCGGCCTGGGGCTGCGGGCGGCGTGGGGCCCACCAGCGGGCTGGGCTGCCGCCGCTCGGCAACGGCTGGGTCGGGGGCCTGGGGCTGGGGCTGGGGCTGGCGCTCGGGGTGAAGCTGGCGGGAGGGCTAAGAGGCGCCGCCCCCGCTCAACCCCCGGCGGCCCCCGACCCCGAGGCGTGGCCTCAGGCCGTGCCGCTGCTGGAGCAGTCCCTCGCCCCGCGGTCTCTGCAGACCCCGGCGTCTCCCCACTCCCGGTGCTTCGCCAGAGCCATTGAGAGCAGCCGGGACCTGCTGCACAGAATCAAGGTGCGGCGACTGGGGAGGGGGGCGCCGGCGGCTGGGGTCCTTGCGCCCTAGCTCCAGTTCACCCCGAAATGGGGCCCCTTGGTGGTAGTATCTCCGGGCTGAACTGACCCCACCTTGGGCGGTGGGGTGCCGGTTGTCGGCTTCCGAGAAAGACTTCCCGTTTCCCGACCGCTAGATCGCAGTCAGAAGCCCTTGGGGGTTGCCCAACTCCGGGCTGAGGTCACCGCCCGCTTGGGGGACCGCCCCTTCCCCCGCCAGGGTGCGGACTTGGCGCTCCCCTCGCGGTTACTTGCGGGGCAAGGCCTGAGCCCGGGTGGGCGGGGCCTGCTGGAGTTTTGGGGTGTGCAGGGTTACCCCGCTGTCTTTTAACTGTCGGTCTCCCCCCCGCTTTGCTTCTAGGACGAGGTGGGTGCACCAGGAATAGTGGTCGGAGTTTCTGTAGATGGAAAAGAAGTCTGGTCAGAAGGTGGGCTCAGAAAACTGTTATTTAGCGACTTGTTTTGTACCAATTGGTGAATAAAATATTGACAGTAGAGTGGTTGGAGTTAATCCCATAAATTGTTTGCTATTCAGTTTAAATTAAATGATACATATTGTCGAAATAACGTATACAGAATGAAGAATCAGGTTATTTTTATTTAATTTTTTTTTTTTTGGTTGTAGATGGACACAATATCTTTATTTTATTTATTTTTAATTTTTTATTGTTGGTTGTTCAAAACATTACATAGTTCTTTATATATCATATTTCACACTTTGATTCAAGTGGGTTATGAACTCCCATTTTTACCCGGTATACAGATTGCAGAATCACATCAGTTACACATCCATTGATTTACATGTTGCCATACTAGTGTCTGTTGTATTCTGCTGCCTTTCCTATCCTCTACTATCCCCCCTCCCCTCCCCTCCCCTCCCCTCCCCTCTTCTCTCTCTACCCCCTCTATATTTATTTATTTTTATGTGGTGCTAAGGATCAAACCCAATGCTCCACACATGAGAGGTGAGCGCTGTACCACTGAGCCACAACCCCAGTCCCCAGGTTGTTATTTTTTAATCACAGCAATACTTAAAATGTGACTAACAGGGCTGGGGGTGTAGCTCAGCAGGAGAGCACATGCTTAGGCTCTGGGTAATCCCCACACCAAAAGTGATAATTAAACTGTGACTACTAAAAAAATTGGAGACTTAAAAAATGGCTTGTTTCTAACCCCACTCTTCTCTTAGGACTGGATTTATTGGCTTGAAAGGGTATATAGAACAATCCATTAAATATCCGCTATTGCATATTTGTAGATAGCCCTAATGGGTAGATAAAACACCAGAATTTCTGTGTTTTTCTTTATAAATCCAGTCAACAATTTAATGAGTTTTCTATTCTGTAAAAGGCATTGTTCTGAATACTAGAGATAACACTATTCATTGTCCCTAATGAGTTTACAGTCTTACTTTATTATTCTTTTTGCTGCACAGAATAATAATTACTTTTTCAAATAAAAAGCTGGAAGCTTTGAGAGAAGCATTTCTATTTATTTTGTGATACTTTCATCGAAACATTATAAGGTAACTTCTCCAATGCACATAAATTGGTCCAGTAAGTCACCCTAGGTTTTTAGAAATCCTATTTTTAATTGAAGTTTCAGATAAGAGAGTAGTAGTTTTAGGAGAAGTTGGTGGGAGCAGTAGGGTTTTGAAAAATTATTTTTCCCCAAGTATAAGTATACTTTGTATCAGTATACCTAATTTATGAAAATATTATAAATGCTAACCGTATTGGTGAGAGTTTTGTTTTTATGCAAATATTTTCAGAATACAGTTTAAAAACAGTCGTTGTACTTCTTTTCAGAATTCAGTTCTTTATATCTCTTTGAATTCCATGTATTCACCACGTGCAAAAGATGAAACCCAAACAAATTTTTTTGTAGAAGGAGATTTAAATTACTCGTACAGAGTTTTTCTTATGGTTTGCAGCTGAATCAAATTGATAGTTGGATTTGCTTTTCAGGACATCTTTTCACATTCATTTTGATTGAATGACTATTTTAAGGACATCAGCAGAAACTAAAAAATCAAGAATGATTATAATCTGAAGAATACTGATTTTTCGTTTTTCGTTATTTCTTTGGTACTGAGGATTGAACACAGGAGGTGTTTACCACTGAGCTACATTCTTAGTGCTTTTTATTTTTTTGAGACAGGGTCCTGCTAAGTTGCCAAGGCTGGCCTCAAACTTGGGATCCTACTACCTCCGCCTCTGGAGTTGCTAGGATTACAAGCATGAGACCATGCCCAGCTATGAAAATGTTTTCTTTAAAGAATGTAATTTATTTGAAATGTGTAATAATCAAATTGTTAACATAAGCTAAGAAAAATTAGTATCTGAGTCAGATGAAAAATTATTATATACAGGGTACACTTTCAGTTTAGTTATAATGTTAAAAGTGTTAGGCTTATTTTTGTCAGCATTGCTAAAACTCATTCTTACATGTCCAGTTTTAAGTAACTAATAAAAGTGGATTATCTTTTTGTTTAAAAGAGCACCCAAGGTGTTTTAAGATAGTTCAGTTTTTGAAGACTTGTTTGGCCATGAAGCTAATTAATAGAAACTTTTTGCTTTTCTTTATCCAAAGGTTTAGGCTATGCCGATGTTGAGAACCGGGTGCCATGTAAACCAGAGACAGTTATGAGAATTGCCAGCATCAGCAAAAGCCTCACCATGGTTGCTCTTGCCAAATTGTGGGAAGCAGGGAAACTGGATCTTGATGTTCCAGTACAACATTATGTTCCTGAATTCCCAGAAAAAGAATATGAAGGTGAAAAGGTAGTGAAATTCACAGTTCAGTGTATTAATTGGCTTGTTAAATGGTTTATGCTGGAATTTATATTTGAAATGTTTTGTAGGACTCTTTGCTTTGATTTTAGTTACTGTTACTGGATTAAGTTGTGTGTGTGTGTGTGTGTGTGTTTTAATTTGTATTTTTCTGATACTTGAGGGTCAGGATCTATATGTGACCTTTTTCCAGCAGGAGTTCAAAGTGGAAAATATTACTGAGGCATTCATTCCCAGACTGTTAACTTGTTATTGTACAGTTTAATATTGTAATTGAATTTTCATGTTTTTACTATTAGGTTTCTGTCACAACAAGATTGCTAATATCCCACTTAAGTGGAATTCGTCATTATGAAAAGGACATGAAAAAGGTGAAAGAAGAAAAGGCTTATAAAGCCTTGAAGATGATGAAAGGAACAATGGCATCTGACCAAGAAAAAGAATTGAAAGAAAAAGGAAGCAAAAGTAATGAAAATAATGACTTTTCTAAAGCTAAATCAGAACAGGATAATGAATCCAAATGTCGGAAACATGGCAAGAAAAAAAATGATTTTGAACAAGGTGAATTATATTTGAAAGAAAAGTTCGAAAATTCAATTGAATCCCTAAAATTATTTAAAAATGATCCTTTGTTCTTTAAACCTGGTGAGTGTTCATTCCTTCTCTTAACAAAGTCATTATTATTAAAGTGTTAGATTTTCAGGAAATCCAAAATGTCTTTCATCCTGAGTACATTCAGTGGGCTGAAGGTGGTTGTATGAACCAGTCCAGTGCCCCTGTTTTTCTGGGTTTTTAAAATTTGTTCTTTTTAGCTACACATGATAGTAGAATTGGAAAGACAGTGCCTCCCTTTTTGTTTGTACTTCCTAACAAAGGCTGGCATCCAGGCAGGTGATTATCTAGATTTAGCCTCATGGAAGGATCTGCAACCACTTAGAGGAGTCTCAGTATCAAGATGTTCATGGAGAATATTGGAATTATTATTCCCCAAATATAACCTGGACCAAAGTAAAAAGGATATTGTGTGACTAATAGGAATATTTAAATTTAGTTAGAATTTAATGTTAAAATTAAATTGCTGGGGGCTTGGGTTGTGGTTCAGTGGTAGAGCGCTTGCCTAGCATGTGTGAAGCACTGGGTTTGATTCCCCGCACTACATGTAAATAAATAAAATAAAGGTCCATTGACAACTATTAAAAAAAAAATTTAAATTGCTTGGTCCGGTGTGCCTATATTCTCAACATCTCAGGAGTCTGAGGCAGGGTGATCACAAGTTCAAGACCAACCTCAGCAACTTAGCAAGACACAGTCTCAAAGTTTAAAAACAAGGGCGGGGGGCAGGGCTGGGGTTGTGGCTCAGCGGTAGAGCACTAGCCTAGCATGTTCAGGGTGCTGGGTTCTATCCTCAGCGCCACAGAAAAATAAAATAAAGGTATTGTATCCAACTGCAACTAAAACAAAATCATTATAAAAAAAGGTGTGGGGTCGGGGGCTGGGCATGTAGCTCTGTGACAAAGTGCTCCCCAATTCAATCCCCAGTACTGGGAAAAAAAAATAAGGTTTCTACCCATTTTTATATGGATAATAAAATTTTAAGTTTCCAGAATACAAAGTAGTATAAAATTACATATATGAAATTATATATATGTACATGTATAATGTTTTTAAAATTCTACATATATAATGTATATTTAAATATGTATTTGAAATAGTTTTTATGCCTACATATATTTTATTAAAATGAGAACTTACACATCTATTTATCTATTGTTTACGATACCAGATGAATTGAGAACAAGAATAGTTGACTCAAGAAATCAAATTTGCTTTTTTTTCCCTTCCTATTTGGTTGTCAGTTTGAATGATTTTTTTGTTTTGCATTTGTTTATTTCATTATCAGATAAAGGAACAGATTCATTGAAATTTTAGATACGTATACATCATTTTATTCTTGCATTATAGTGAGATGCAATAAGCGGGGCTATACAAAATTAACTGAATTTGTTGATATGCTAAAGTAAAATATTACAATTTTAAAGGTATGCCTATTTTCAGTGGGAAAATATTTTACATATTTTTTAATAATAATTAAGTATTTTCTGTTTTTTCCCCTCTTGCAATGATGTCTCAAGGTAGTCAGTTTTTGTACTCAACTTTTGGCTATACCCTACTGGCAGCCATAGTAGAAAGAGCTTCAGGATATAAATATTTGGACTATATGCAGAAAATATTCCATGACTTGGATATGCTGACAACTGTGCAGGAAGAAAATGAGCCAGTGATTTACAATAGAGCAAGGTAAACAAATACCTTCTGGTGTGTCTAGCTATATATTGTATTTTAACATTGTGTTACCAATTAAAAGTCAAATTTTCCTTGTTTCCATTCCAAAATCAATTTGCCACATTTTGGGAGCTTTTCTGCATGTCTATTTTCCATTTATACAGTGAAGAAAATAAAACATGTTTGTAAAGTGCCCCAAGACACTTAGATAAAATATAGCAATAATAATGTAAGCGCATGAATAATTAAACCAAAATTTCACCCATCATGTGCATTTGTAATTTGCTCTTTTAATCACCCCTTTTCTTATGTTTATCTAATGATTTGTTTGTTTTCCTTTTATTATGTTTTGTTTTAACATTTATTTTGAGATAATTTTGTACATACAGAAAAATTGAAAGAATAGTACAAAGAATTCACATATACATACCCTTCACCCAGTTTCCCCATATGTTATCATTTTACCACATTTGCATTATCTATCTGTGTTGTTTTTTTTTTTTTTTTTTTTGTGGACCACTTGGAATAAGTTGCAGACATGGCATGTCGTTACCTATAAATATTTAAGTGTGTATTTCTTGAGAACAAGGGAATTCAAGAAATTGATTTAGACTTTTTGCCAATTGTTCTACTAGTGTTCTTTATAGTGAAAAAGAAAAGTTTTTATTTCTGGTCAGGGATCAATACAGAATCCCACATTGCATCTAGTTGTCATGTCTTTCAGAAGTCACATGATGTTGGTTTATCCCATTATTGGTGATTGTGTTTTAATGACTTTGTTGAGGTAGTGCCTGTCACATTTCTCCCTTGTGAAGTTGCTGGGTTTTCCTTTGTTCAGTTAACAAGTATATTTTGAGGAGATACTATGTAAAATTCCTAGTTCTCATCAAACTTTCTACTTATTTTAACACCCATTCATGATTAATGTCTGGATCAGTTATGACAATAATGGTTGCCAGTGGTGACTTTCTAATTCCATTATCATCTCAATATTTGTTAGTTAGCATTACCTTGTGGGAAAGTACTTCCCTTCTTATTTATTTATTCATTTATGAACTTATTTATTCATACCAATATGCTCTCGTGGATTAATAGTCAATGAGTTGTAATCTGTCACTGATATTATTTAATATCTAGCTTTTGAAATATTAAGTATATAAAATAGTAACAAAACTATTTGTAAGGGTAAATAATTATTAGGTTGTTCATATGTATATATTTTTAATCAGGAGTTTTATGTTTGAGTTTGTATGTGTTAATAAATGACCATGTTAAAATGCTCTTCTGATTTGGATTATGTAGATCCTTGCTACCTGCCATTAGTGAGAGTAATTACACTTTTAGTGTACTATAAAAATAGTAAGTGCTACCTAACTAAAATAATGGAACATTTTAAATATATTTAGGTTTAAAGTCCTTTTTTTTATAATTAGACATCCTTAGGCACCTTTTAATTATAAGGATTAAGATCTAAAATGTTTAAGCCATAGTTCCTCCAAGTTTTATTTTACATCTTTTAAATATAAAATATCAAGTTGGAATTACTTATGTAAATTTGAAATTTAAAATCCTAGGCAAACTGCTTAGCAGGTTTTAATGTAATTTATGGAGAAATTTCATAACACTGACTTTGATGTATTAACTGGAATCCTTAAGAAGGAAAAATGTTACGATTTGGGGTAATTTCATATTTGACCATTTACCATTATGACAGAAAAGGGTTTGGTCAGAGCTGTTTAGCCTTTAATATTTTAAAATTTAGCTTATGTTTTGTTTTATGAAGTTTTCTATAATTTAGGGTTTTAACTAATTTATGTTATATAAAGTAACTAAACACAACTTATGAAAGTGCTAAAAAATTTTAGTATTCTGTTGAGAACTGGCACACTTCAAAACCATTCATAAAAATATTTGAATTTTTAAATTATTTAATTATAAAAAAGTTTATATTAGAGGAAAAATTTGAAGCACCTCAGAAAATTTAAAAAGTTAAATTGAACATAGTGTTAGCAAATTCAATAAAGATTTATTTTTACCTTTTAAAGTTATTTGAAGTTTTATTATTAGAGGGAAAATATTTGAAATACAAAACTTGGTAACTTTCTAAAAAATTAGAATGAATGAAAGGACAATTATATCAAATGTTAGGAAAATGTAAATCAAAAGTTTATAAAATGACTGGTTGGATTATCTCATGGTTATTTATAGTTAGAATTAGCCAATGTGCTAAGCACTATGTTCTTTACTGATTTTTTTTTTTTCTTTTCACTCCTTTTTCAAACTGTATGATAGTTTGCAAACTAGACCTTATGGCCAGTATGAGTTGGAAAATCAGTTTAGTGGGTTGGTATCAGTATATCTGTCTTTCATAAAACAAAGTAGAATAGAAAATAATTATAAAATGTGTTGCATGTATCAAGGGTAGATATAAACTTTTAGGGCGAAGACTGCTGCTATAGGAAAAAGTCACTAAAATACAATGGCTTGAAGAAAATAAAAGTTTAACACTCTCATGCATCATTCCTGAGGTGAGAGTTCAGATTGGCAAATAGAGCTGCTCTACACAACCTTTTAAGAACCCAGATGCTAGGCTGGGTGCAGTGACACACGCCTGTAATCCCAGCAGCTCTGGAGGCTGAGTCAGAAAGATCACATGTTCAAAACCAGTCTCAGCAACTTAGTGAAGTGCTAAGCAACTTAGTGAGACCCTGTCTCTAAATAAAATATTTTAAAAGGGCTGGGATGTGGTTCAGTACATCCCTGGATTCAATCCCCAGTTCCAAAAAAAAAAAAACATGCACTTCCATCTTACAGCTTTCATACAGATGGTGGTGTCCCCATCTGTATAATACAAGCTAGATCCCAGATCCCTAGAAAAAGCAAGAGAGTGAAGAAGCTGTGTACTTAATGCCTGAACATCCAGACTTGGCATGTGCCACCCTTCATCTCTGTTCACCTTCTGTTGGCAGAAAGTTAACCTAATGGTCAAACTTAGTGACAGCTGTAATTCTATTACTAAGGATGGAAAGAAGAATCAATGTTGTAAATAACCAGCCATCTGTGCCACTGTATTATTCTATAAAACTTCTGTTTCAGATAGGTGACACATTCATGTGCATGTGTGTTCATTTAGTCAGAATGAGACATGTACTCCTTACTGTGGGTTAAGGTTAAAAAAAAAAAGTTTGAAAGTCCTTCAGTAAAATATATCAAACTAAAATTTTATCTTAATTATTACTAGTAACTTTTAAAAGAGGCATTGGCAGAAAATTTTGAGACTGATTACTAATATGCGTTTTACTGTTGTGATGTTTTCTGTTATCTGTTACAAAGATTGCACATTTAATAAATCAACTATTAATTTTACTTAGCATATTCCATTAGTATATGCTTTCCAAGTGGCTTAATGGTACTTTCTAAAGAAGCAGAAAAAATGGCAGCACTTTTTGGAGTCAATCTCCACATTTGTTTTGTTCAATCTTCTGTTGTATTTAGCAAAATTATCGTTTTAAATGAACAGTTTAAATATGGATTAAATGTGCATTTCAAATCAGTCTATGATCTGAAGGAGATTTGAGAAACCCAGAAGGGAAACCCAGGTTATTAACAAGCAGTGAATTTAAATTTTTTTTTTTTTTTTTTTTTTTAAGTTCGGTGGTTCTTGACCACTTCAGACTCTGCGTCTGTGTTTAAAATAGTGCCACCTGATTACTATTTTTAGGTCTAGCATTATATTCTTCTGGAAAACAAAAGAAAAAGGGACAAATACCAGAGGTTGTCAGTTGAATCTAAAAAAGATTCTCTATTAAAGATGGTGTAGCTGCATGAAGTTATGTTGATTTACACCTAAAGATTTGAAAATGAGTGTCTAGGTCTTTATGGCAGGACATTGTGTGTCCTAATTAAGCCTCATTCTAAATTGAAATTAAGGCTGTATGAATCTACAGACTGCAGAACAGCTGTCATTTGCTATTTCCTGATGAGTAACTTGCAAAAATCAAAATATGGCCTATGATGGTGAATTAATGTCATTTTAGCTCTTAATCCTTGAAAAAAGGCAGTGGCTTTCCATTTCTGGTGAGGAAGATTCCTGTCAGCTCTGAGGCTGATTTGTTTGTTTTTTGGATTTTTGATGGGACCTAGTAGTTCTAAAGTGGTAGTTGATTCATTTTAGTTAAATGTGCTTGTGAAATAAAATAGGTCACTAAAAAAGAAAGAAATGTTTCCTAAAAAAATGTTCTATCTATTTGCTATGTTTTTATCTTATTAGATACAGTATCAATTTTGGTCTCTAAAACTCTCTGATTCTTTTTTTGTAATAGTTATTTTTAAGGAGTTTAAAAGATAATATCTTTTAGGAGGAGTTTTTTGGTACATATCTGAAAAAATACCCAAGGAGGGGGAACCCTTAAAGTAAAATATAGTAACTGCAATATGTTTCTATTCACTTGTTTTATTGTACCATTTTGTACAAAATGAAATGTTTGCAGTTTTTTTTTTGTTTGTTTTTTTTGGTTTACTGACTTCTTAGGCATAGAGTTAATTGTTTCTCCAAAGTAAATATCTTCTTTATCAATTCTCTTTATGTATATGTGTATGTTTAAAATAGTGCCACCTGATGTCCATTACCTGTTTAAAGTATTTTCCCAGAATCTTACATTATTTAAGTGTCTAGGGCCAGAATTTTAACTGTAGCCACAGGCCACACTTACCTGTAAGGTAGGTGAGGGAATTTACTTTTATCTGGGTACATTATTGGCCTATATAAAATTAAGGCTTCTTTAAATGGAAGAGTTGGACCATAGATTCTATATAGGCACTATACAGAATCTATACCTATATTGATTTGTATAGCAAATATATTCTGTATAGGCAAATTAAATAGATGATAAGCAAACATCCCCAAGGGAGTAGAGTAAATGTTCTTGCCACTGAAAGATACTCAGTTAATTGATAGGGAACTTCTTAGTCAATACCTTAGCTTATTAACCTTGTAGAATATTTTCTGTGTTTGG